AATTTTATCTTTGCATTACTGCACTTCCTCTCTAATTTATGAACTATGTTTTGTCTTTTCTATTGCATCCGCATTGTCTAGAAGACTAAAACGGTGTGAAAGAAGGCAAACCTGTTTGAACAATTCTGTACACAGATAAGGTAGAAAATCCAGTGAAGAGATGGAAACTTATGACACAAGTATTAGATATAATCAAAGCATAAAAAGCTCTCTAAATTTCAAACTGGAGGATTGTACCAATAAATCAGCCAGTAAAAGACCCGGACTGATTTCACTCACGGAGTTACTAAAAAGACCACCTTCTGTACCATCTGCTCAATGTGTTAAGTGACTAAGTCCATAAAGAGCATGATTCAGGATTATTTAATGGTATTTTCAAACATCAGATTATACTTTTTACATAAGCCTAACACAGGTTAATTACTACAACACTGTTTATGTTGGGAGAGGGGGCTCTGGACAGATTGAGGTGTACATTTCTAAGCTGGGTTTATAAAATGAATCTGGCAGCGATTTGCTTGGCGAGCCCGCATCTTTGGAATTACATTCAACCAAACGACCACTCCTGCCGGGCTCCTGTCCTCCTGAATTAGTCTGAATTATTAACACACCCTGATCTGCCAGTTCATGCCTCATTTGGGGGTCCTTCTTGCATTCATAATCACTTTCGTGCCACTAAGAACCTTTCACTAGTGCCCTTCTTTCACGTTGTGCTCTTGTGAAGGCGCTGCAACAGTCTCAGTTCTGACCCCAGCTAATCTCATACATCCCATCCCAGTGTGAACAAAATAAATGCAGAAACCTCAAACAAAAAATCTCTCTCACCTCTCACTGGATCTACGCAGAAGGTCAGATGGGGAAGTGTGGTTTCCTGCACCGAGCTGTAAGACCGGGTCTTTTAGATCATGACTGAACACCCTCGACACTGCAGTCGTTGTAGTACAATCTCTGTCAGGTGCGTTTCAAAGCAGTGAACCTGTTGGGTTGAAATCACAGGCCTTGAAGGTGTTTAAGTCAACAGTGAAAATACCCTGCCTTACAAAGAGTGGGCAATATCACTGATGAGCATGCACACACAAAAGCATGCAGACGTTTGGCACCAACACGGCTATGAATCTATCACGGCTTCTTTAAAAAAATGTAAATGTATCATAGAGAGATTGCTGTCTGGAATGACATATCCAGAGGGCTCATTTTATGCTTACATTTGAGTTGTTCCTTGTTAAACCACAGAGTACTAAATACATTTAAAAATAACTTATTATAGAAGTGTTGATTGTGGACAATCAGATGATTGAAAGGCACAAAGTAAGCATTGCTTTCTACATCCCAGTACAGCCACATCTATAGAACCATTCTAAAAGATCACCAAAGGTTCAGTTATACCTTTAATTTTGTGGTTTACAATAACTTTGTATTTTGTTTCCAAGCATTTTAAATAGCTGTATATATTTCCATGCATGGGCAAGTCAGACCGACTCAGCTCGGCTCACAGCAATAACATCCTATTGCTGTTCATTGTTCTTCACACTTAAACTACCCTGGCTGTATGCATCTCTAAAAGCTCACCTTGCAGCTCTCCCTGCTCCCATTTTCCTTCTCCGGTTGCCTTCTCCTCCGTCATGGACCACGGTTGAAAGGATCTCCAATTGTCAGGATCCCTGCTCTCTCCACACTCCGCTCCAAATAAAATCCAATCATGTAGCCAGAGCAGTTGGGTTGGATTGGAGGTCTTTGCAAGCTGAGCGCAAGAGCAAGACACTAATATCAGGCTGTCTTCTGAATGTTTGTTTTCAAGAAGGTCACCATTTGATTTGTGTGTTTGTTTCACTGTGGGGAAAAAAATGCCTACAGTGTATATCATAGGTTTAGTGGGGAAAGAAGGGCATGGATACAGCAAGTGCTTAGTTGTAATGTTCTTGGTAAGGAAAGCCAAGTAGGAAGTACTCTGCTGGAAACTGTCTCTTCTGATCGAAACTTGCTGTGAGACACAGGTACCACTCTCTAGCTGGGGGTTTTACTCACAAACTCCTGTCCCTGAACTGCTCTTTTTCCTGCCCAGAGACTCTAATCCCTTTATTGAATCGACTTCATTCAGCCCCAGTGTCCCATTGTCCGGCGCTGCTCTGTGCTTTGTGAAACTGACCCCCAGTCCCTCGCTCACCCCCTTCAGCCCCTCTGCAGGCTCCTGCCCCCTTCTTTTGCTCCAGTCTGGAATTACAAAGGATAAACAGAGATTACACTGGCATTATCCCATTAAAGTCTCCTCTCTGCAGACACCCTTCTCTAATGCCTTCATCTCCATGCTGCAGACTGGCCAAACAGAGGAAGCTGGATGCCGAATATTTCAATGAAGTTACATACCACCCCATCTTTTGGAATAGAAATGTGTCTTTCCATCCATCAATTTTAACTGCTCTGTCCAATACAGGGTCAGAGGGGAGATGGAGCCTATTCCAGCAAGCAATGTATCTTGCATGGGACACCAATCCAGATACAGTATGTGTCCATGAGACATCTAGTTATGAGCACTTTTTTCGATGCAGCATTTATGATGTGGGACATTTGGAGCAAGTACTTTCACTTAATTGATCTTTTAAAAGAAAGACCTATATTATATTATTTTTAAGTCGATAAAATTCTGAAAACATCGCCTTAAACTACTAATATCAGTTATCAGTTAATTATGGCTGACACTTAAGAATAGGATCACCTGTCTTTATTTAAGAATTCTCAGATGTACAGGTATAGAATTATTTTGTAGGGATAAGTAAAAGAAAATACTTCCACACATATTGAAGGGCACTTTCACCACGTATCAATGACATAACAGATTCAGCCACAGCAAACAAGAAGTTCATTAGGAGAAAAAAGGAGCAAAATATTAGATTAGCCCAGGTGATCTACAGATTTACATAAAATAGAGCATGCGCTTCGTATGCTGAAGAACAAAACTGACGTCAGAATACCCCAGGAATAGGCAAAAAGTCAACATGGCTGCAGAAAAACATTTCAAAGATTACAAAAAGATTTTATAGAGTTCAAAGGGTCATGTGGTTCGTTGTGGCAAAGGGATATGCATGCAAATACTTATTTTTACATTTGGAAAGTTACTTTGAATGTGTCCCAATACTTACCATCACTTGAAATCACTGGGCTGAACACAAAGTATGCTTTTGTGCTAATATAATCAAATACATGCATGGAATTACTCATAAACATATTGTAATTATTATACATATTAATCTCATGATCACAAATACAAGTTTCTTGACTGTGAAGCAAAAATAACACTTTTTAACTTTGTCCAAAACAAACTGAAGGAAACCAGAGTATGGAGGACTGAGACAAAATTTAAGAGAAATCTGTAGAAAATGCATGACAAAAGTTTAAAGAAGTACTTCTTGAAACACGAAGATGTAGATTTATTCTATGAGTAGATTAAAAAGTTAGAAATCATTTGCCCAGCTGGTCTGATTAGCTACAAAATAAGGAGAAACACAGCACTTTATAAAACAATTAAAAAGAACATCCTAACAGTGAACAGGGAAGTTAAACTGACTACAATAAATTGCAAACAAGGGTAAAATAGGAATAGTAATTGCAAGAGATAAAAATAAATATTGCAATACAGTCTAAACTACAAACTGCCAAGGATGAAATGAGGGTAAACAGATTAAACAGAATTAAGGAGTGCTACAGGTATAGCAGATATTAAAAGCACTTAAGATAAAGAAATCTCCTGTGCCTGCTGGTATTCTACCAATTGTACTTAAAGAAACAAGAGATGCTACTTATTCACCATTAACAAAATGATTCCCGTTATTCAGGACATGGGCAAAACCCATTGACTGGAAAATTGTTACTGTTGCACTCATCCTTAAAAACACTGAAAAAAGTATTGACTAATAAGTCTTACTTCTATTGCATGCACATTAATCTAAACAGAAATCAGAGCTAAACTAGAATATCGTAATAATAGTAATGGATACAAAACAGAGTATACAGGTATGGTTGGTATATAGATTCTGGTATAGTTAGTAGTTTAGTTTGCAGATGCTACCAAAAGAGGAGAATCGGAACAAACTAAAGAGGATACAAAGGAAATTCAAAAAGACTTAAACAAAATTCAAGATCAGAATAACAAATGACACATGGCACTGTTGACATGCGCAGTGTTACATGCAGGTTGCAGAAATGAAAACTACTAATCTAAAATTGCAATCAAATGGGCTTAAAAAAGGCATCTATGAAAAAACAATTAGACATTAGGCATTTTTGTTGCCATGTCATTGTATCTGAGGGAGCACAATAAGTAAGGCAGTACAAGGATATACAGTTTGAAGAATATAATTTAAATCAAGGGATGTCATGTCAAAATTACATATTGAACTTAAATGACCTCATTTAAAATTGTGTAGAATTTGGTTACAGCATTAAAAAAAAAAAGATACTGCTGCACTGGAATCTGTCTAAAAAAACAGTGACCAGACAAGCTAAAAGAAGGAAACTGTATATATTTAACAGAACCTTTTTAGAGCTGAGCAATTGGGCCTAATTGTCTAAATGAAAAATCAAAATCAACAGCATTGACAAGGACAGCCCAATGGATTCAGTATCACATGGAAACTGTGACAAAAATGCATTTATACTAAGAACAAGAGGCACATTTTTACACAAAGGACTGTGAGGCTCTGGAACAAGCTATCCAGCCATGTTATTGACACCGATACTTTGTCTTCTTTCAAAAAATGTCTGGACAAGACCTTCGGATCAATCACCAATCGGCAACCAAATGAGCTAAATGGACAAAATGGCCTCTTTACATCTCTGAGTTTCTAACGTTCCACTGATTGACAGAAGTTTTAAGTTACACCTAAAATCCCAGCAGTAGTGAACAGCTGATGCTTTTCTTCCAGGAATGATACTGTTGTCCTCTGCCTAGCAAAATTTCCTAAAAAGACATCCCCTCCCCCCCCACCAAACACAGACACATTAAGAAGCATTATTTTCTTTATTGAAAAGAGACACATTACAGTATATGACTCTCTCTGTATTAGGCTTCGGTTTTCAACAGAGTACTGTACAGCTGACACAAACTCAATATAATAACAATAACAACAATGACAATAATAATAATAATTGACATACTAAATTGTAACTGAGTAATACAAAATTGGAGCCAAAGGAAATTCATTGTTTTGTTACAATACAAACATAAATAATGTATTATAATCTTGAACTGATGTACAACATGAACATTTGACAAAAATGAGGTAATTAAAAAAATCTATAAACCAAAAATCATGTAACAAAACAACATAAAATCATAATATCAACTGAGTTTCTTTAATAATTCTTTACATCTATGTACATGCAATGACAAGCTGTGTGGAGTGTCTGTGAGCAGACTTTGCAAGCCAGAGAAACCAATGACACAGGGACTCCATTGTAAACAACATGGTACGATTTTTCTGTACATATAAATATTTTATTGTCCCTCTCATCCCAATATAGTGTTTTTTACTTCGTTAATGAATTTCCCGCCCGTGCCTGTCAGAGTTGAATAACATTTTTATGTTATGACAAAATGTTTTCTTATGCATTGAGTTTTCAGCAGTAGCTGAAAACAGAATATACTGTATTAACCAGGATGATAGGGCAATATTATTCTAAGGAGAAAACAATTTAAGATTAAAAAGCCCTGGACTGGAAGCAAGTTCAAGGGGCAATGCACTTCTAACATCCTGCACAACAACTGTCTAGCGCAATTTGTAAAGGAAAACAAAACTCACTATACATTAGGCCTGTTCAAAGTCTGTCACATTTGTGAAGGGAGTGTCTTTGATCTTATAGTATGTCAATCTCTTGTCAAATGAAAAAATTAAAAAAGATTCGGTATCATTTTGCACAGATAATTTGGAATCTACAGCTCTCTATGAACATCTTCAAAGGTGCACTAACGTGTTAGAAAGTGATATAGTGATTTTATTCATAATGTGCCCAGACACAAAAAACATGTCCGAAAAAACATACGTTTACCAAAAATCAAGGATTTCAACCAGTTCAAATTTACTAATGCCCAGGAAATTCCTGCATGTTTTATTTTTAAGATAGCTATGATTTCTGCAATAAAAGGAATTGCTGAAATCTCCAAAGACAGTCAGGCTTTGAAGTGGTTGCATTTAGTAATAAAATAGCAGTGCTGCATCAGCAATTAGTTATATTACAAGCAGTCTACGCAGAACCATGTGGATCTTTGTTCACAGAAAAAAAAAAACTATTTTATGTCCATGATTCCGAAAAGAATAGTTGTAAGACAAAGTTGAGGAAAGGTTGCATTATAGTATGAATGTCTATAATGCATGAATATCAAATGTCCAGAATTCCCTTAATGTGTACAACTGTACAGAAGTTAGACTACTCACCCTTTAAATGGTAACCATGAGCCATACTTATTTTATCACAGGGGTAGAGGCAAGTTTAATGCAGCATTTGGTTTCAGCTTTCTTGCCCTGAGCCACCATATTCATTTACTTACATCATTATTTCTGTACCAGCTCACGAAACCATCTATGACACCCGTCTAGAAAAATCTCCATAGTGGGACATCTAGTCTTGCACAGAATAAGAGAGGAAACTGTCTTTTCACAAAATGCTCTACTATTCATTTAAAAAAAAGTTCTCTCTTGATTTCAAGTGTTACTTTCTTATGGACTGGCTTTTACTGGACAGAAAGGTACTGAATCCTCCTGTTCCCACCTTCATAACAGAAGCAGTTACTTCAAAAGGCTTGTATCACCCAATACAAACCCCTTAGATGTCTTCTCAATGCAAATGAAAACACTTCCAGTTACTACCTTATATGGATAAGGGTGTCTAATATTTCACATTCTTTCCAACACACACACTTTTCAGTTGCATCAGACATTTTGTGTACTATTTTAGACTTAAAATTAGACAAATGTGAACGTAAAAACATTACTTCTAACTTGTGAAACAAATGGTTTCGACTTAATTTTCAGCTTTTCTTCCATTGTTACTAAAAGGTTGTGATATATATAAACTGCTACCTGTAATGATTTCTAAACTTTTTTATTCCTTAAATCATATTCCGAATTTCCACTCCATACTTCCACACTCTTCCGAACAGAATGCCAACCAAACCAGATGACGTAACAGCTTCTGCAATGTCTACTGAAGCACAGCCTGGTAAGAAAGAAAAAGTACAGTGAAACCAGCTTTCTGAGACCTGATGGAGAAGAGCTGTCCGAAAGAAGCATCTTGTAACCAGAAATGCGGACAAGAAAAACACGTGTCGTCTTCCCATTGCTTGGTTTACCAAGCATGGGAACATTATCTGTGGCAGGTTGCTTTGTGTACTTTAAAACATTGCTTTCGATTACTCAAAATATATAAAATAAAACTGTCTGTACAAAATACAAAAATGTCTAGGTCTATACAAAAATAAAGTATAGACAAGGCCTGATATTACACATTTGTATCTGTAAAAGAATGGTTTAAGACCATTTCAAGTTTCCAAGCGCTCTCCAGCAGTAATATCTGTGTGCAACATGACATTTTCTTCATGATGATGAGAATGCAATAATACCTGCTGTAAGTGATTCAATGATTAGTGCTGAAGCCATTCAGCATACTGCACAACTTCCTGTCCTACAGTATTTGAAAAAAAGACAAATAAGAAGGAAGGTGAAGGACTGTCCCAATCAAGGCTTTCAGACCATGCAGACTTTTTGCGGAAAACACTTGGTTAACACTTAAGTAGTTGAAAAAGAAAACAAGTGATTCAATTAAATTATTAAAGAAGTATTAACAGCTCCTATTCACTGGCCTTTAGTCATGCTTAATTGCATACTATTAACACAATTTGCTCTGTCCTCGTGTACAAATATGAAATTACATCAAAGTCATTTGAACATCATTTGCAACCCTGAAGAAAACGAATAAATTGATTTCTAATTTTGAAGAGACATCACAACACAGTGGCAGATGCTTAAAAAATGACCCTTCATAAACTCCAAATCAATATGATGTCTGCAAGTTGTCACGACAGCTCGTGAAGCAAGCCTCAGGATACTGGCTGCATGGGGTTGTGCTACAGACTGACAGGGCAGGGCAGAACTTGGACTCTCAGTGTGCAGAGACAGCTATGACGCAGAGTGTAACCTGAAGAGCCCAGGACTCTTTTTGGCATGGTGCTCAATTTTTCCTTCAACAAAGCATTCCAGGAAGCAGCAGGAAAGCCATACAGTTCATTAGTATCTTTGTGAAAATACCTAAAAGTGACCAACAAAAGGCAAAACAACCTCTAACAATTGCCCCAGGCCATGCCCTTTCAGATTTGTACCTAGAGCTCGGAGGAACCAGTAGCGGCATTACAAAGAGATAAGAGACACAGTCCTGCTCAGGAGAAAGAAAAAGTCTGGATAAACAGGGGCAACAGGAATGTCTTGGCCTGGGCAATTCTAATCACACTCGTTTCTCAGTGGTTTTATTACTATAGCTACTTGCAGAGTTTTCAGACCTATTCAAATGGTTTTCAAAGTCACCACAAAACACATTTTAGTTTATTTTTCCTTTAGAAATCAAATGGTCTAAAAGAAAAATTATGTACAGTTTTCCTTCTTTTTTTTAATAAATTACAACACCACCAAAAAAGGTTTACAAAAATATTTACAGAACAGGATTCTGGAACCAGAAAAGCCCTTTCCTTGATAGCAGAAACTGGTTTAGGGGACAGAGTGGGAGACTGGCCGAATGAAAAAGGAACTCGCTAAGCAGAAACAGCTGCTAATGCTAATAGGATGCCACAGAATGACTGGCCATGTTCTTATCCCATGCTCTGCTTCCAGGTCAACATTAGTTTTATTGCAATGTCTTCTGAAATTTGAGGTGATGGAATCAATAAATATTTAGCACTTAATTAGTTGAGAAAATGAAAATTAATCTGATTCCCACTACATAACATTTCAGCAGCCAAAGCATGAGAAAACTGTTTCAGCACCTTAATGCAGCTGTCGAAAATCACACATCGCAACTTGCATAGGTATTCGTCAATCATTTTAAAGGAAAGGTCTCCACTGAAACCCCCACAAAATACTTTTATATTCTGTCACAGTACACGCTGCTTTCAAAATCTACGATAATACTGAGAAAAACAAAAAAGCTTAGGATGCAATGTCTCATTTGGGAAAAACTAAGCCTTCTCCCATCTCTGTACACGGAGAGGCCCAGGGGAACTTCACTAGCCCAGCAGACCAAGTGAAGGCTTGGGTGAGCCAGGATTGTGCCATGAGGAGCTCAGGTTTCACAGGGACTAACTGCCTTCGTCTGGGTGCTGCTTGCAGGTCGGTAGTGTATTTAGGTGTTAGCGAATGGAGAGGCCAACCGATCACTGAGGTACTTTTTAAGCATCTCCCTGACTTCTAACTCATAATGGAGCCTTCAGTCATGCAATGCTATGACACCTGTTCACAATAAGGGAATCAGTTTTGACTGCTAGAAACAAAATTAAATCGATAAGGAATTCTTCTGGAATATTGATTTTACCTATGAGTTCCCAAACACCTACTGAGTTAATGTTTACAGCAGAGAATTACTGATTTTTGTGAAGAGATTAGACTTAAAAATACCGTGGTGTCAAAATCAAAAAGTCCAAATTCGGTACAATAATTGGGAAAAGAAAAACATAAATCCCTTTGATTTATTTAAAAATACTGTCATGATGAGGAACCACTTTCTCTTTTTTCATACCGGTTACCACACCATCTCTCCTGCCATACTGGTGTGGGTCCAATTTCAAAAGTCGACCATTTAACAGTTTAAATATGTCTTTGCTAATGTATGGTTTCTGGCCCCTAAACCTTGCAACAGCATAATATAATTGAGCTGTATGATACAGAAAAATATGGTATTTTTTTACTTTTGCAGAACTTCCAAATACACCCATTGGTCCAGCACTGCATACATAAGAAAATGCTGTTGCAATGAACAATTGCCTTTAGTTGTTATTAAAAAACAAAAAAAATAATAAAGTTACACGCATGCATTCTCACTTCAGCTATGAAATGGAATGGATATTTCCAATTTCCTCAACTTTTTATACCAAAATATTTTTTTCACATTTTTTTTTGCTCATCAAAAAACACAAAACACAAAGGAAATTGCATAATTTAATCAAATAATCACAACAGTTGGTGAAAACAATGATGCGGTTTGTCTTTTCTCGTCAATAAATACAAAACTGAAATACCTGACAAAGGGCAAAGGGGGAAATAAAAAAAATTAGCTGGAAATGCTAATATAAAAGGAATGAAACAGCAGCAACTCTCAATGAAAGCTGCTCCTGAAAAAAGGGGGTACTTTTTAAAAGCACCTTATTCTAAATGCTACTTGTGGCTTTGCTTCTGCTCTTATATTTATTATACAATCTTGTCCTCCTTCACTTATGTACATGCCTGTTGCCGCTCTGCTTGCCTTGGATGAGACGGGTAGTGACTTGCTCAGAAAGTAAGAATCCAGATATTCCAGTGAGAGGCCTGGCTCTGTGCCCCTTGGCTTCCAAGCGGGACCCCACTCCTGCGTGAACCCCAGGGGTTAAAGACGAGAAGCGCGCCGTTGAAGAGAAGAGACGGAGAGCAGACTCGCCTAAATAAGTGTAACGAAGCTGGCTTTCCCAGAGCGCAGCTTATCTTCGTCGCATTCGAGGCACTCCAAGACGACAAACTGAGGCTTCTGTCCCTTTCTGGTCTTGAATCATGGCGTTGCTCTCCATTACAGAATGTGTGTGGAGAGCAGCTAGCAAGGGAGTGAGTGAAGAGGCGAAAAGGAGTGATGTCTCTCCCAAAAGTTTCTCAGGTTGTAGCTCTGTGCCTGTGAGAGGAGTGGAGTCTTCCCATCTTAGCCAAGCTAAAGCGGGACTTAAAATAACAATGTCAATAATCATGAGTGTAGGCTAATACTCCCGTGGAAACAGGAGACCTGCTAGTGTCCTTGAGAAACAAGTGTCTTAGTAGTGGTTCCAACCTCAACCTCTGAATCTTCTCCAGCAAGCTTTTGTGTTGCAGGTTTTCTTTAAAATATTTGTTTAGAGACAGATAATAAACAGATTCATGTTGCGGGAGAGAAAACTGCTCACTGCAGTACCGGAGGTCTCCTCCAGGTGGCGGCGAGACTTCCCGAGCTCAGATGATTGTGGGCATCCTCCCCCCACTACTGCTGCAGCTATTGTTGCGGTTGTTGTTCTTGCGGGACAGGTTGGGGGTGGCCATCAACGTGAAGCGCTCATCGGGACAGCCGTACTGTAGTAGCGTGTCGACACACTCCTGGCTGCCTGCCTGACGGGCGTAAGCCAGGGCTGTGTTTCCGTGGGTATCCCGCGCCATCACGTCCACGCCGTACTGCAGCACCGGGGAGAGAAAAGAAGAGAGTAATTCTCAATCAGAAAACAGCCATTAAGATCGAGTTTAAGATCACTGTGGCTACACACACATTTCACACGTTCCACAGATATTATCACCAGCACTTAGGAACCTCAACAGCATTCCAAATGTATGTCAATATAAACAATTGACAAAAAACAAAAGTTGCTCATATTTGGTTAAACACGCCTTAAAAATACAGTTTTTCTTAATTATGATGAATTAGTTCACACTTTTAACTCTTTTCGGCAACAGTTAATTTGATGAAGAGTTCGTAACAATTGAGCGCTGGGCGACAGACAGCTAGAGAATCTTTGACTCAGTGTTTCCAGCACACTGTTCACCTCCCACTATCTCAGGTCTTACTAAATCCAACTTCAAAATGGTTAAAGTCCGTACCCTATGTTCACGCTGTATAAAACCCCAAAAAATCAATACAATTGTAAAAGTAAACTACTGTGAATAAATTAAATGCGATGTTAATAAAACATCCTTAGTCATTTTTAAAAACAAAAAACCTTACATAATCCCTAGTTTCATTTAAAAAATGTGATTAATCATTTATTAATTAGCCATTAAACAGACGAATGAATACTCAGCAAAAAACAAGAAAAAATGATTGAGAATGTTATTGATGAGAAAGGATCATTGAGAATAAAGAACCGAAAATAACTGTTGAGTCCGGATATGTCTATGGACTTGTGACACTTCTGTTTTCCATACATTCAACCCCCACCACTAACAAGTCTTCTCTTCATGCTTTACATGAAACTAATAAAAATTACATGAAAGACGTTTCCGCAGGTCTTTCCTCCCGGCAGCTGTCAGGGTGTATAACGCTGCACTAGGCTAGGACTGTTAGCCCTTCATTTGCTCGTCTATGGACAGCATGTTTGCTCCATTGTACTTTTTTGACAAACAGTCTGTATAAACCTATGCACATATTTTATTGTTTTTACAATGACTATGATCATCACATTTTGCACACACCTATGTATTTATTTATTTTGTTGTCTTTTGTTTTATAACTATTCTGATGTCTGTTTTTGCTGGTCTTGGGCTGGACTGCTGTAACACATCAATTTCCCTAGGGGATTAATAAAGTATTATCTATCTATCCAATAACTGTCAACCAACGCTTAGTTTAAGAATGAGGTTTAGTACGCCTATATAACGGGAATTATTACATGTGGTAGTATATACCTTAGGTTGGGAGTGGGCCCAGTTTGCCTTGTTTACATGCATTCTTACAGGAAATGAGCTTTTCAATTCACAGGTTTTGTGTTACGCGGCACATTTCAGGAACACACCTGCGGTGTAAATAGAGAACTATGTAAAACGAGAATCGCCCACTCCCGCAATCTGCAACTCTGCTCTTTCCAGCTAACGGCGGGAGAAACCCCGCTCTCCAGCTGTGGGCAGGAGGCTCTTACCCATATCAGGAGCTGGGCCAGGACCACGTTGCCCTTGCGGCAGGCCAGGTGCAGAGCCGTGCGCCCGTCGCCCTCCCCGCAGGTCTCGTTGACCTCGTCCCGGGTGCCGTGGGCCAGCAGCAGCACCACGGCACGCAGGTCCTCCTCGGCCGACGCCCTCAGCAGCTGCTGCCCCAGCGGCAGGTCGGCACACGCCAGCGGTGCCAGGAAGAGTTTTTGCTCGTACTTGGCCCTGATCCAGCGCTCCCGCTCCTCCCTGCCAACGACACGGCGGCACAAGCCATCAGCGTGCTGTGCCGAAGCCGAGCAAGAGCGCCCACGCTCCAGCACAGCAGCACGACAGAACAGAGGGGCTGGCGATGCTCGGCTCTTCTACTCTGACACGTTAGGAATACACAGCACAAGCCGCAAGCTGCCCCTCCTTGTAAGGATATTTGCTGATGACCTCTTTCCCAAAATACCCTTAAAATAATACCCCTTCAGCTTGAGCATTCAAGTTCTGATTGCAGATTTATGCCTGGAAAAATGCACATGCATAATCTGTAACTCAACAAAATGGAACATCACTGGAAGGGGGTGAATGCTTTTTCAAAGTAGTTTACAAACCAAAACAGGACAATCAGTGCTCTTCACGCAAATAGAACAGACGTGTTAAAACGAACACTTCAACACCTTATGTTTTAAGGCAGACTGGCGCATTTTTATTAATGAGCGTGCCTGGAAGAGAGAGAGACAAAGAAGCAGTTCCCTTTATTGTGTTTTGGAACTGCAGGTATAGAGTATGTCCACAATGCCCATCTCAAAACAGGGATGTTTACCAATATTGTATGGAGCAACAGTGTTGTTTTATTCAGTGTGTGGAGTTTGTACAGCCTGAGAACTGGCCCTGTTTGCAACATTCATCCTGATCCTATGTAGTGATAGTGTTAATCCGCTTCTAATCCCCACAGTGTAAACAGATCCATTCTCTGCCAATCGGGATTAGTTTTGCCTCACTTCCTGCTACAAGTAGAATGACCCTGCACTGACCGGAGGAGTCATTCTGATGTGGGGAAGCATGTGAGATATTAAGCTGTCCCTACAAACATAAGGATCCTTACGATTCCTGAGAACATAAAATAGTCCCTAATCTAATTGCTTAGCTACTTCACATTAAACAGTTCACACTCTGTTACGTATTTGTTTACTGAATGTAGATACGTTGCGCACAATTAGCACCTTTACATAAAGTGTATAATTTGAGTTAGTAAAAAAGTTAATTCATTTCAAATCTATTCAGCTGGTAAAAGATACAAAACATTTTATTGTGTTAAGAAAAAACATACTAAGGTAAAAGATTGGTAGATCCACTCTTTAAAATAAGCAACACATTTGGCAAAGATTCTTAATATTGCACTTTTTCAAGTCAGACTGCTTCTTTAATGATTTAAAGTTATATCTAGGAGGCTTGAGCAATGGGGAAGTCTTGAATTATGCAAAACTTCACTTCACTACTGTGAAATAAAAACATTCACATCACATGGTTCCACGTTTGCCCCTTTCTTATTAAAGGCTCTGGTAGAAACACAGTTGTGTTCAAGGTAATTAAACTCAGCTGAGCCAGAAAATAAAATATGGTCTCAAAAGGGTTAACTCTTCGGGAAGGGAAGCGCTTTGGCTGAGGTAATTATAAATTAGCTGTGTATAGTATTTAATGCCATTGCATGGTGGAGATATCAGTTTATCACAGAGGCAGACACATAAAAATAGCCGATCGATGGCCGGGGAATCAATAACACGGTGACATCCTTCTTAATCAAAGCAGGGCCGAATGTGACTGTCTCAAACATGCTGCAACACAGAAAGATTTTCTGTCCCTGGGAAGAGATCGGAGAAGGGTTAGGTGGTTGGGCAGGGTTATATCAAACACTTTTAACATGCGCAGCTCCACACTTTAACACAATGCTCATATGTGTTTAAGTATTTTTCTTCTTCCATGCTCTGTTCAAATCTGAAACAACCCAAAATTGCAATGTTCTAAAATGAAGACCTTAGCCATTTAAACGTTTTTAAAAAGGCTCGATACTCATTACAATGAGTATTAAGAGAGGAATTAGGACTATGATCAATGCTAAGGACATAATTAATAGAATTTAAAAGATTAACATTTGCCCTTTTAAACTACTTTATCATAGCAGTTTGAAGAAGTACTGAAGTCACACCTGAAGAAGGCTCCACGGCCGAAACGTTGTGTTCTCTTTCTTCTTTTTTTCAGCATGGAATAGACCTATTACTTGTTACTTTATCATATTTGTGGTAGAGTACACTGTCTAGAAATAATATGCAAGAAAATACTTCAGAATATGGAGCTTTAAGGTGATTTTGATAATTTTAATATGCACAATAGTTCCACTGCAACTTGTGAGTGAGCTACAATCCACTACAAAAGAGGAATTCTACATGAGAATGCCTGCAGTACTTTTATCACAGAGCCATGTAGACAGTGCCCACTGTGCTCAGATTCTGACAGCCAAGAGAATATATGCTTATTTGACCTAAACAAGCAATTAGTTTACATCGAAACGATTAATTAGCTGTAACTGTCATCACTTGCTTGTGCTCTCCAACACTGTCCAGTAGTACTGTCACCTAAACAGTCAAGAAAGCTTCACAGATGCCTTAGGGCTTATTTCACACACCCATACATTACATGCTGCCAGTGGAGAGCTGCTTTTCACTGTAACAAATACTCCTCCTGCCGCAAACTTAATTGCTGTCTTCAATTTGGCCAGATTTCAAATCTGTTCCCATTCACAAATCTCATTAGTTTTCTCCGGGGGAAGGCACTCCCAGCTGTCTTTGACATGAAATAGAGCAAACGTCTTGACATCTATCAGTCCAACAGTTCCTCCTTACAGGATGAAAGCACAGCCTACAGAATTTACACACAACTAATATTGTAATATTTGGAGTTAAAGGCTTATTACCATCCTCTGATCATTTTTTACCACAGTCCTGGATGCAGAGATGCTAGCTGAACAGTAGCGAGGTCAGATCGCAGCGAAAGAACACCTCAGGAGAAACAGCTGCATTAGCAAAATGGTTTTTAAAGGGCTATATGCAGCGTTTAACTGAAGTGGAACAATAGGTTTATTTCATGCTGAAAAAAAGAAGAAAGAAAACACAACGTTTCGGCCGTGGAGCCTTCTTCAGGTGTCACGGCCTGATTTTCTCTTTTCTTTTTTTCAGCATGGAATAAACCTATTACTTGTTCCTTTGCAGCCTACGCATGCTGACGCAGCTCCCCACCTGAACTGTTTAACTGTAGTGCCTACTTCTTCAACGTCAATAAAAAGAAAGCAAGCCACACACGATAAATCACTCAAAGAGGTAAAGTAAAAAGTTCAGCAAAGCACTGTAGTATGGTGAAAATACCCAGGAAGCAAGTGTTTAAGAAACATTACCCAAATTAAGTTCAGATCCTCTCACAATGGACCTGTGGTGGTTATTGGTCTTCTCTCGCCTTATTCATTACTGGCCCCAGAGGAGGGGAGGGACCAGCCTGCTCTGGGAAACTACTGGTGCAGTGCAGGGCAATAAGAATACCCGCTGGCCTCCAATCTTGCAGAAATTCCCCCTGGACAGAGTGGGGGTACTGGGGCTGCTGGTAATACCCGGCTAGCAGCAAGGAATTTGCGAGGCTCTCTTCCTGCCTCCCGGAGAAAGTGGGGAGGCCGGGCCAAGGAGGCATGGACGAGGGGATGGGAACAATGTAGCAGAGAGGCGCGAGGGGGTGGGGGGCCGGCTGGCGAGAGGGGCTGCAGCTCGGCAGGGGCAGCCCTTTCTCTGTGGCAGAGGAAATGCTCAGCAGTTCACTGCCCACTGGCACGCATGCCTTCCCTCCCAGGCCCGGTTGCTAGGGGGGGTAAACGCAGGCAGCGTTTCGCAAACAACAGGCAGGCAGGCCAGACAACAGAATCATACATGTCCACAGACAGCACGTACAAAAGAAAAGGGAAGGGAGGGGGGGGAGCACACCGATTTTGGGGGTTAATTACTGCTGCACGTTACAAATATACAGATCTATACTGTAAGGTGCTTTAGGAGAGGGGAAAGAACACTGATTTTTCCACCAAATGCTGGGACCAACCCATAAATAATCCCCAGAGATGTGTGGTCAATAACGTTGAGCGTGCTCTGCACGCCAGAGAGTGTTTTATGATCCTGCGGGATTGGAGGAACGAGAAGGGAGAAAAATAAATAAAATCCAGCTATTGAGCTTATTATGATGATTATTGTGAAAAAGGCGCTCGAATCTGCCATGTCACACGCTAATGTTTTTTTGTATGTGTTCTTATTCCTTAATCGATGTAATCGTTTGGGATCACGAGCAAAGCCTCACGGCTGAAAGCTTCCTTCACATCCCTACAAATGTCAAACAAGAAAATCCCTCCTGTCACATGTCCGCACAAAAAAAACCCAACAACAAATGATTGAATTGGCAAGTGAAAAAGATTACTTAAATCAACACCGAGGTGTTCCTGAAGGGCAGACCAGAAACTGCTGCACTTGTGTCAGATCCTACAGCAAAAATATAAGGTAGGAACTGATTCAATCAGTACATGTTTCCTTTAGCTTTATTAGTTTTACACTGAGTGCTTGGAGACCAGGCAGCACCACAGCCAGAATTCTTGCTGGACTAACTGGCTGGATAAAAACAAGAAACTAGTGTTCTTCCCTTAAAGAACAGTAAGTGCCTGAATCACCGCAGGGTGTATTTTAAAGAACGCAATAAATATTAAAGCTGAAGACAACCAGCTGAGCTACAAATGAGATCTAAGTTCGTTTTTGAATAAATTTGAGCTTGGCAACACATACACAGCCAGGATATGCTATACACACTGAGAACTTAAATGACTTAAAAGAACCTAATGACTTTACTGCAGAAAAGTCAAGATGTTTGCATATATTTTGTATATGAACATACACTTCACTGTGGTCAGTAATGATTTAGATTCTTGCAATCAAAGAAAAGCAGAGATTTAAACATGGGCTAGGAGATGTAGTTTTTCCTTGCGTGAGCTTTTGCTTGCTATAGATTTTCTATAGCTTTTTGTCCTTTCCCTCGCTGAAGCTACATTTTCCTTACCAAAGCACAGCTCTAGACCAAAGAGGGGCAGCTCTGCATACTGCACCAATAGTAACCAAGTTCTAATGCTATTTCTACGGAAACAAAAAAAACAGTTGACGGAAGAGTTGTGTCGACAAGTGTTTTAG